TCGCCAATAACTAGAGCACTTTGATCAGGTTTCTCAGTGGGTGCGTCACTGAGTGGGGAGAACCTGTTTAATGTTTTGATCGGAACGGAAGAGCGGTGTTTTGACCCGCGACTATGCTGCCTCACAGTCACCCAGTTGCCCTGCTGCACGGGCTCTAGAACCGGAACCGAACAATGTACAGGACTCCCTGAGCTAGTCGCATACAAAGCCGTATCTAGAGCCCTCACATTCTTACTGTCCTCAATTAAAGTTTGGATGTGTGTCTCTAATTCTGAAATCTTCTCTGTCAGCCTAACTATTTCCCTGCATTTATCACATGTGAATCCCTCGTCGCTGACAGAGAAAGATAAACTATACATGTGGCAAGCGGTGCAAACAACAATAGCAGGAGAAGAAGCCATTACGCACCGTGATTGATGAATGATTCTTACTTACCACAGTTGTTTGATGAACTTGTGAAAAAATGGAGCGAGAGAGAAAAGAAAAAGAAAACCGCAATAGGCGTGAATGGAAATGCTAATGACAAGCTAACCGGCTAACGAAGCTACACACGCGCTACACTCGTGGTTTTAGAATAAAAGCAAACGATCGAATTAATTAGATTAGTGTTAATAAAAATAACAATTGGTCCCTCGATATCTCTTTGCCGCCTTGAAGAATTCTCAGTTCCTTAAAGTGTAAATACGGCCGGGAAGCAAGAAAACACACATTCAAATGTATTCTCAATACTTCAATTTATTCATAGATACAAAGATATTATATAGGCATATGTCGAGGGGAGTTTCACCCTCTTAACCAATAAGGATATGAATGACATACACATATAGGATCTTTGGCCAAGAACATGTTTATATAAAATGGCCACATGTACAGAAAAACATGGACATATTAGGAATAGACTTTTAGCGAAGGCTGAGGCACTCTTCTTCAGAGTTCCTCACAAACTCCTTTACCCTTATAGTCCTAGCATTCATCTCCTTATTTGGGCATTTAAAACAAGAAAAACTAATGTATACATGTGCGAATGCATACCTTGAATATGAGTAAGAGATATGTAAAACATCATACAAGAGAGAGAGAGAGAAGAAGAAAGCAGATAGAGGAGGGGGGATTCAGAGAGAGGGAGAAAAAGGAGGGTGAAAGCATCTGGAACCTTAACAAGACAGAGAGTGTTTTCTAACAATTAGGTTGATAGATAATATCAGAATTATGGTGGGAATTAAGTTATATTTTATCACTTTAAACAACAGAGAGTGATAGTAAGATTCTACAGAAAAGTGAAGCTACAGGGAGCTACAATCACAAACCAGCAGCACGGCAGACAGGAAGCAGGAATAACACTGTCCAACAGTGACCAATATATATATATGATATGTTAATGATGAAGCGCTAATTTAAGTAATAAATAAGGTAATATATTATTCTAATATGGTTATTATATTTATTTTATTGGCATATATAACAGTTATCTGTACAAATTATAAAACACTATGACAAGGTAATATTTAATGTATTATATTATATATATTTATTTATTACATTTTATATTATCATCTCACACATGGATCGGCATTTTCTATAATGTCTAAATTCTAAATTAAAATACATGTCTGATAACTTAATATATAATTCGCATTAAACAAACAATATAATTCATATTCTCAAGGATTAAAGATTAAACTGAAAAAAATTTAAATGATTGCACTTTATTTCAAAAGTAATTACTAATTAGTTACATTACTAGTTACGTTACTTTTTTCTTCAACATTCACAGAACACTGTTATTTTTAACTAAAGCAAGCAGCTGCTGCGTGCATGGTTTGGCATGGCAGAATGCCAGCAAAGAGCACTGCATTTATAATCTCTAAAATACATCTCAGTTCAGTGCAATTTCACAAATCTCTGTTATAACACAATATATGCATAATGAATCTTTCATAATGTGTACAATTCGTGTGTTATAATGAGAGGATTCATGAACACGCAAATTTCAACACTGCATTGCTCAACGCTGCAAACACGTGTTATAGCCTAAATAGAAACTCTGCATACGCTTGCATCTGTTAATCATTTATATTTTATATTAGTTAATGTAGCTTTTGTGCAATAGATGAATAATAATGTATTTGTTTTAGATATTTTATGTTTAGATATTTCTATTTTGCGGGAGTCCCGTGAATCATTTTATTCTCCCGCATCCCGCGCTCACACACGAGTCTCTGCAAGTCTTGTCCCGCGCCGCACTCGGTTGCGTCGGGTCTCGCGGGAGAGCAGGTCTCTAATCCACTGGCACTTGACTCAACAATGCATGTGCTACATCCTTTTTACAATCTCTAGATTATAAAACACTGCATTCTGTCAGCAATGTAACGCGGCAGTAACGTATAGAGACCTCGGCTTGTAACTATACTCTAATTACTATTTAAAAATGATAAATAAATCATAATAATAAAATCTAATAAATCATGGATTCTCTAGTGTTGTCTGCATTGTTATTTACTTCATATCTGGTGAAAGGACAAAAAAAAAGAAAAGCGGATTTTCCTTTTCTAGAACTTAACATTAATGCATAAGGAGGCTATACGGATCCGGGATAGTTTAAAAGAATTCAGGTCTTATCAGGTCCATTCAGAAAAAGCTAATTTATTTTAATTACCTGAGACCCAAGGCCACTAATACTGAACCCGACTCATGTCCGAGGGACTCGTAGAAGTTTTGGACCCGAACCCGCTCGGATCTCGGGTCGGACCTCGGTTTTTCGGATCCAAGTGGACCCGTAAAGACTTCTAGTTTGAGGTTCGACCTGCATGATCAGCAACACTGCTTTCATTAGAAGCTTTAGGCAGTCAGGCTCTAATAGTAATGTATAAATGAGTCAATTACTCATTAAAGTAATAATAATCAATAAAACATTCCATTGTCAATTATTGCTTTCTACATATTTCTCTTTGTTTCAGCTCTGCCTGTTCCTGTCATCAGCAGTAACTCTTCACAATGTTCTTCATCATCATCACAGCAGAATTGTTCATTGGTGTGTTCAGTGGTGAATGTGAGTCATGAGACTCTCTCCTGGTACAAAGGAAACAGTTTATTGTCCAGCATCAGTGTGTCTGATCTCAGCATCAGTCTCTCTCTACCTCTGGAGGTGGAATATCAGGATAACAACACCTACAGCTGTGTGCTCAACAATCCCATCAGCAACCAGACTCAACATCTGGACATCATTGAACTCTGTCACACATGTGCAGGTACAGCAGCAATAATATTAGTGTTTATTCATTGAAATTATCACTGTCATGTTTGGGAAAAAATATTTTATATTTATATATTTAACTTTACTCTCTATTAAGATTTTCTCATTGATTAAAACTAATAAATAAATTATGAATAAATAGATATTCTGTATTATATTTGCTATGCTTTTGTTGGTGAAAGTATCAAAGTCTGTATGATTGTGCATTTCAATAAACTACTGTATCTGCTCTGTATTTTCCTCCTTCAGACTATGTCTGCTGTTGCGGTTTTATTGTAGCTGTGATCCGATTGGTCCTCTCTGCTGTGATGGGCGTGGCTGCTGCTGCTTTTCTGGTTTATGACATTAGATCCAGAAAATATTAACAGTATAATAGAGAACAGATACCACCAAGTGTAGCCCCTGATGTGAGCAGTGATTGACCACATTCTTATACCAGGACATTGGAGAATAATATACAAAATAACATAAAATATTGATATGAGTTGTACTTCCCCCTTAAGTGCAAAAAAAGATGATTGATCATGCTCATTTACCTAAATTACTTAGTTGTTACAAAGAAAGTTAACAGTTATGTTGTATCTGCACCATTGGGGATGATCATATCTTGAGCAAATGGTTATCAATTGTAGAATGGGAGTTGGTGTGGGACATCGAGAACAATCTCAGACATTTGTGTGTCATAACTTCATTAACATACAGAGCACAGCTGTTACAACTGGAGCAACTTCATTTACACTGTAGCATATCAGAGCGAATCAGACAATTTAAGATTCGATCAGAACATTGTTGAAACACAAGGAGCCAAATTCCACAAAGACGCCCAAGACAACATGGATGATCATAAATCAGATCCTAGCACCAGGCAGCCTGAAGCAAGTCCACCAACTAGCAGCTTTGAACAGCTTGCAACATTAACACAAAATAACACTTATTGATAATTCCAATTTAGGAAAGAGATTGTCAATTTTGGGGCAAGAAACCCAAGATTAATGATCAAAGAGACAACATCATGACAATCACGAGTAAAACCATAAAGCAAATCATTGGTTGAGACCGTCCTTGGATTTCCCCCCACTCAGACGAAGACCAGGCTCCTTCTAGACATTTTGATCCTCTCAGAACACGTCCTCACATTCACAGAACGGCACAGAGACTGTCTTTTACATATGTAGATGCACCAAAATGATCTCAAAAGGACTTATAAACGATTATATGTCCATTGCATAACTCCATATCATGTATGTAACCCACACATTTGACTTTCATTTTCTAATCACTCATTGTGTATGTCATTTTGAATAACTATTGAATAGTTTATAGGTTAATAGTCATGTTTAGTATGTGTGTTTGAATAGTCTTGCTTAAAACGTTTCAATCAATCAATTATTTGTAAAATGTTCCATATTCTTGTTATAGAAACCATTGTCTAAATTAAACTCCGCAAGAGCAGGAAAATTCGGACCATGTGACTAATAAGATAACACGTTGATTTATGTATTGGGAGCAGGGTTGCCAGGTTTTCGCAACAAAACCCGCCCAATTGCTCTTCAAAACTAGCCCAAAACTAGCCCAATCGCGTTTCAAGGTAGGTTCCCCGGTAGAAATCGCATTCCGGGGGGTAAAATACAAGTTTTTCAGCAGGGATCCTCCAGTAAAATTCACATTCTAGGGGCTAAATATCACGTTATTGGGGTCGATTCAACCCGCGAACATGAAAAACAACCCGTGGCAACAGTGTTAAAGTAGCCCAATTCCACGGGAAAACTGCAGACTTGGCAACACTGATTGGGAGGAGAAACATAGCAACACCCCGAGCAAAGACAATGTCTAATTGGTCAAGACACCATTTGGGATGTGTCCAACAGCTGAGGTTAAAACTCAGGACACCAAAAATTTTTGCTTCTTGTCTATTTGACTTTTAGCTATCGCTTTTTGCCAACACTTTTTGCATTCTTCAAACGGCCTTCCAGCGTGCTCTGCCTGCATGCCTGCTGCTACTCAACCACCATGACATGAAACACCAGCTCTAGTCTTGTTACATTTGTTTTTTTCTTTCCATTGAGAGTTTCGTGTTCTGAGTTAAGTTTTGCCACAACACCGTGTCTCAGAGTCCGACCTCAAGTCTGTGCCTGCCTCAAAACTTCAACGAGCCCACAACTCTGCACCATTCGTCAGCCAACACCCAAGATGTCACTTCCAACGACTACTGAGCCCCCAACCAGTCAACAACCTTGGGAAACCCCTTTCTGCAATGATGACAACAAAGGGAATCCCCTAAAACAGGCAATGCAAGTACCTTCAGATTCTAGCTGAACTGGTGCATTTAATATAAAGTGTAATAGCCTCATTGATAAACTCAATGCGAGGGTTAATTAAAGATTGATGGTTGTTCAGGTCTAAGAAATTGCTGTATTGCTATAAACTTGGGATCTCATATTTTCACTCTCCTAAACTCATTCTTCCCTCACTTTCTCTCTTTCTGCAACTTGTGTGAAAGCGTGTGTCTATGTGTTATATTAGTTTATATGTCTTAGATTTATCCAATAAAGGCTTGTTTATATTGAAAAGAGAAGTATCTTGTGTTTTGTGCTTACAAGTTAAAGGGTTAGTTTACCCAAAAATGAAAATTTGCCCATGAATTACTAACCCTCAAAGCATCCTAGGTGTATATGACTTTCTTCTTATTGACGAATCCAATCGGAGTTATATTAAAAATTGTCTTTGATCTTCCAAGCTGTATAATGGCAGTCAGCAGGTGTTGCAGTGAATCGCTCCAAAAGAAGTGAAATAAAGCACATCCATTTATAATAAAAAAGTGCCTCACACGGCTTTGGGGGGTGAACAAAGGCCTCCTGTAGGGAATCTATGCGTTTTTGAGGCACTTTTTTATTATAAATGGATGCGATTTATTTAACTTCTTTTGGACCGATGCACTGCAATACCCACTGAGTGCCATTAAACAGCTTGGAAGATGAAAGATAGTTTTTAATATAACTCTGATTGGATTCGTCTGAAAGAAGAAAGTCATATACACCTAGAATGCATTGAGGGTGAGTAATTCATGGGCTAATTTTCATTTTTGGGTGAACTAACCCTTTAATGTCTTAAACTGCCAACCTTGTTACCGTGCTAGTAAATAGTGTTTTCACTATATTTCGGCTATTGCTATCCATTACAGAGTTGATTTTAAATGGCTGATTCAATGAATCGCGGGCTGACTCAGTGATCAGCCGTGGAACAATGATTCTGAACAAATTCCCTATAAAATCATCATTAATTCCTTTTGAGCTAAATTGACCTGTTTCCCTTACAACATTAAGGATAGTAAACTGTATAAATGGTTTGTGTTTAGGATGTCGAGGGTTCATTCCAACTCCATTAAAACCTAGGTGCTACATGTACTTTGTCACTGATATGCTGCGATAAACCTCTTTGTTGAGATCTTCAATGTCCTCTTTATTTTTTTATTACACATACAATCTACTCCACTTTCCTACAAAGCTGCAGTTTAAATTCAAGTTCTTTTAATACAGCTATGATGTCATGCCATGACGCAGTCTTCTGTTGGTCACAAACTTCATATGATACAGATTTGCATGTTAGAGTTCACTGAACTCTAAGCAAAATGCGTAGCTTTGCATGAGCTTGCGATTCCGCTCTCCCACATTTGCATATGTATGAATATAAGTCAATAGCTATGTTTCCATCTAAAGTTTTACTTGTGTGCAAAATTAAAATATTGCATAAAACATTTGCAAATAAAGCACCTTTTCCATCCCATGTGTTGAAGAGAATAAAATTGCCACTTCCTGAAACTGGCACAAAGTATCAATAATAAAAATGAAAGCTGCATTTTTTTCCTACATAGTAAATGTCTTGAGCCTCAAAGCATGCAGATGAAATACAATAACAAATACGGGCTCTTGCATTAAAACATTTTTTTTTAGATTAGATACACTTCAAAACTCACTCAAACTCTTTGTATTACACATTTCGATTTACACAAGTACAGTGAAATGAACATTTTAATAAAATTTTTTCATACCTGTGAAAAACTCAAAAGACAGAAGTTACATCTTTCCACAGTTTATTTACAGTCAGTTTATTACTGAGCCCGCCGACCAGCAGGAGGATAATATCTTGCGTCTTTCACGAGCGCCTGATGCGTCATCTATTGGCATGGTGGTGTAATGCCACAAAGATATACTGTTTTACCTTAATGGTGTCATATGACATTGCTCAAAATAACATTATTTGGTGTATTTGGTGTAATGCAATGTCTTTATGCGGTTTAAGGTTAAAAAAACACATTATTTTCCACATAATGTACATTATTGTTTCTCCTCTATGCCCCGCCTTTCTGAAACGCGTCGACTTTTACAAAGCTCATCGTTCTGAAAAGCGAGGTGTGCTCTGATTGGCCAACTATCCAGTGCGTTGTGATTGGCTGAATACCTCAAGCGTGTGACGGAAATGTTACGCCACTTAACATACTGTGATGCTGTGTGTCCCTGCACAACAAGACAAAACCAATAAAACCCATTACAAACGAGGCATTTGTAGCGCCCCAGTGCGGACATAATTACTGATTATAATGACTTATACTGTCTTTTTATCTGTTGCGTTGTGTATCGTGCTGCGTAAACATAAAACCATGTGATAGGAGAAACTACAAACAACAAGCTCTACTCTACACTGCTCAAAACTCGCGTTTGAATCATCAGTAGCAAATTCTTTAAATATGTAAACGTACTTACAGACTGTGAGTCAGAAGCGCCAGACTGTCCTTGCAAGGTTGGAACTGCCCCACTTTATAGAAACAGCCTTTGTGCACAGCCTTCCCAGGATCAAGAAACAGTCCTCCATAAAATGTGCTGCACACATCTGAAAATTTGGGTTAAACTGTTCTGGAACAGTGTTGTTAATACAACTTATTCACTGATTTCGAGTTGTGTCCTCTTTTGGAAGACCAAACAAAGTAGCTTCGCTTTCACAACGAAACACACAGCGTCTCCACAACATGGCAGCAGCGGCAACAGCTGGAATAAAAGTTACGCCTTCTTTCTTTGCGTGAACATTTGGGCATTGTTATGTAAATCTTCCCACATCGTGATGTAGACATGTGGGGGCGTGTTAGAATGAGCCGTTTTAGGAGGGAGTTGTTGACTCTTAACTTTTATAAAGAATATCTCTTTGGATTTGAGACTTTAGTCTTTGCAACTTTACAGATCTTCTTTATGCACCAAGAGCTTGTAACACTCCAAAGAGAAAGGACAAATTGAAATCGCATCATATGACCCCTTTAATTAGAAAAGTTCTCATTTTGTAAAAATTAAAAAACAGGTACACACAAATACACATATATGGAGTGGGTCACTGTTTTCAGTAAACTCATA